GATTGGGTCATTCGTTTATTCGATCAGTAACAGAATAATCTAACATTCATTCGACCTCACGTTAATCGACCAAATGAATTTCGATCTTGGGTACGGCACTCGGCATGCCCACTTAGCACTCATATTGTATTTATTGTTCTGTGCAATGTACCTACAGCTATTTTAATGACGATTAGAATATTTTTAGGTAAAACCACATCAACGCCAAAAAAGAAGCCTATAAGTAGAGCTACTACAGAAATATCTACTACAACTTCAAATGCAACTACGGAGGTTTCTACAACTATAAATACAAAAAAGTCGGCGCATTTAACAACAATTTTAAAAAGTAACTTTTCGAGTGAGTTTACAATAATTATTTTATTAAATTCATGATATTTTTAATATAATTATGTTGATTTATTTTTGTGAAAATACTCCATTTGTTTGTTCTTATTATTGATAGAAAGATCGAACTAAACAAAGCACATATTGCAATTGCAAAAAATAAAGCGACATCTCTTATCACTCACTGGTAGATGTAACCTGAGTGAAGAAAAGACTTTCAAAGGTTTCTTATAGTTGGCGCTACAGCAGAAAAACCGTTAGAACTTGAAATACAAAAATCTGCAACGAGCACATAGAGAAATTCGTAAGACCTGAGCTGCTATGTTTGTATAGAGTTACAATTCATACTTGTCTTATTACATTAGGCCGCCTACATACAGTCGGAATCCCTTATATCATACCCAATAACCTTTTACCAAAGCAAGAATAAAAAGTAACAAGAATAGTCACTCTCCGCCCCTCCCTAGCTTTAGATACCGCACCACGCCCTGCATATTAACGGTGACATTGACGGAACGGCAATAAGGCTGTCAATTACGTACTGCTAATTTTTACATGGCACCATCAGAATTACTTTAAAATCCAACTTCGACTTCCTAGGTTATACAGTTTGTCCTACGATGCAGTAAAATCTTTTCCGGAATTCCGGAATTGTAATTAATTAATATTTGGTGGTTTTTACAACGCTGTGTATGTGGAACACCTTTTTCCGACCGTTGCGTATCACACACGCCGCTGTACTATTCACTTCGAAATTTTTTCCGAATCGAAATTCCGTATGGTGGCTTGTACATTTGGAATTCCGCAAGGAAAACACCGTTCCGAATGCAAGTCTTCCATAGATTTTGTAGGGCTGCAACACGTCGTAAATTAGTCAATGCATCTCGTATCTCAATTGAGTACTATTATTCCGAACGGAAATAAACGTATGTGTATGATGCATACATATGTACATAATCTCGAATGGATATTCCGAAACGGAATTCCGACTATATGTAGCCTTATGATAATAAATAGCATATAATAGCATAGCAATAGTACGGTAAGGTCGGTAGCAATAGATTGGAGCTGGTTTTTTGTGTTTGTTCAATCTTTATATGAATAATAACAACTGGCGAGTTTGTTAAAAAAATGTGGAGCCTTCTTTTTACAGAAATTTGCCTGATTCTGTATTGGATTTTACATATTACTACCGCAAAGCAGCACTGTTATGTCCTGCTTCAAATGGTAGGGATGGAGCTAAAATTTACAAGTCACGATCAGTAAATACATTCACTGCATTTCCGAGTATCTGAGTCTGAGAAAAGACGGTCGGAAATGTCACAGGGATCATTTTATCTTTAAGTGTACAAAGATATTCGTATTTTGTCGAATTAGAATCAGACTTAGTGCACAAGCGACATCCGAAGTGGATCCTAGTTTTCTGGATTTAAATACTGTCGGATTCGGAACGAATAGAAATGGGATGCTGTGCGCAAACGCGCTTATTGTTGCAATTGTCTATGGGCAGCGGTAGCCATTTTGGCAACGTCGTCAAGATTCATCGACAAGATCTTAGAACATTCTTGTCGTATTATTTATAAATAAATTCTACAATATACTGGTGCTTTTTGTTTTATTACTGCTTGGTATTTTTTTCGGTAACATCCGTTTTTGTCACATTAGTCATTAGGTAGGAACAAATGTGGTTGTTTATGATGTTAATAACATACGGGACGCGAGCGCGTCAATATTTCACAAATAACCCTGTTTATAGTTACGATCATTTACGATATAGCATTTCACGTATGGAACTGTAAGTGATGTCAATTATCGTTGAGCGACTTTAAAGGTTACTAAAGTACCGGCACGCTATGATGGCCGTTTTGACGTTTGTCCGCTCATCAAGTTTCGTATTAATCACAGACATATGTCTGTGATATTAATTCATAACTACGTTGAAGGAGCTCGAACTTTTAAAACATGAAATCTATTAAAAACGTCGCTTATAGGATCGCTGTCCAGCACAACTTCTACATCCGGCAAACTCGCGTCAAAGCTTAATGCAAAACAAAGCAGTTTCGAATTGACGATATATTAAGTAAACATTTATTTTCGTTTTATTAAAACTTTCTAGTTATAAATCTACAAACTTATAGATGCGACTCGCATTTGATAATATTTCTTTCGATAATGGATTGAGATTTGACCTCACTATAGTAATCTGTCAAAACGGTCATCATAGCGTGCCGGGACTGTAATACTAATCAATCGAATGGGCAAATCATTCGCCTAAGTCGAATCCAAGAACTATTTTTTACTTATATAACAATTCGACTCGAGTGGAATGATTTTATTATCTCCGAACTACTCGGAACTTCACCAGTCCTGTCCATATGAAAATATCCATGTCCCCGTCACATTTACGGTATTTCCCACATGTCATGGCTAGGCAGAAATGTTTTATGGAATCTATTATTAAACAAAACGTAATTCCCTTGTGATGGTTTATTTATTCAGTCATAGTACAAAAGTAAAAGACCCGATACAAATTATTCCGCGCTTACTTAAATAAATTTCTTCCCGCCAAAACCGCCGCACATCATCGTTCATTCATTGGGGCCATCGAAGTGTCAGATATGGCAGAGTTTTCATTGCCTATTAGCGATGCGCGATAGCGAATGATTTCGATATTCGACTCAGGAGTAATTACCAATACTGTCATTCGAATGACAAATTAGTAACCTACTATGTGTGAATACCGCATATGTGACGGATAGGATATTTTGATGTGGACATGGTGAATGATCTGGTGGAGACCAAGTAGTTCCGACATAATAATCATTCGAATCGTGCACCCGACTCGAGTCGAATGATTGTACTTGGATTCGACTTAGGCGAATGATTGGGGCATTCGAACGATTAGTATTAGTCACATTCAAAGACGCGCATCGCTATTGGCTTTAGCGGTAGCACCATATAGGGTAAACAATATTGTGTGCTTAAGGGCGCCTTCAAATTAGACGCTTATAGAAGCACAGCAGCAGTGGAATATTCATACAATATTTAGAATCGTAGCTGTAGCGCTACAGTCGCTTCAGACGCGCGCCTCTTTTGCAAACTAGATATTATTAGCCTCCTTATACAGTCACTCTATCGCGCATGATCAGGAGAGTAAAGGATTGCGCGCGGGAAAGCATGCACGCGCATTCGTACGCGATTACCTGTTTGAAATTGTTTAAGTTAAAGTTCTGTCGCGCGCGATTGCACGTGTTCGTTTTTGTTACAACGGAAAGAGCGTCAGTGTAAAGGCTAATAGTGCAGTATAGACCGTGAGAAACTGGGGCGTGATGGAGAGCGCGACTCTTCGCGCGTCTTTCCCTTTTTTCTTACAACGTTTTTACACTCGCGCTCAAGCGCACGATTGCTGTATCACGTGCGATAGAGAGTCTGTGTAAAGCCTGGTACACAGACACTCTGTCAACCGCGCCACTGCAGAGTTTCTGCAAACGTTTAATCTGAAGGCATCCTAAGTGTCTAAGTATTATAGAATGAATTGCTACCAAAATAAACTCAACAGTGTCGAGATAAATATTAAAATTTGCTATCTTACTTTACACAGCTTCCAATGAATCAGACGAAGAAAACACTGATACAAGTACTAGCGCTACTACAAACGCGGTTACTACAGAAAGTCCTGATTCAGAGAAAAGCGTTGCAAATAGTAAGCCAATTTATTTTGTATGTATGCTTCACACACTCATTGGGATAATATAGATAAATTAAAAATCTAAGAATTTGAAAATGAGCCTTCAAGTGTGCCCACTTGAAAGTCAAGGGGGCATCTCGAAAATCCCAAGAGACTTTCGAGACTATTTCAAAAATAGGTTCCCAAACCCATTGGCATTAACCCATGGGTATTTAGGCTATCACAACAGGCTATTTGAAACAAAATCAATATTAACAGAATTTTTTAAAATATCAAGTGACGACACGAACGAGTCGTGCGCCTGATGGTAAGCTACTCGTACACGTCCGTTTGTCCATAACACATGCAGTGCCACTCAGAGCTTTAAATGGCAAAGATCTGGGGGCTCACGTCACCTTGAGACATAAATTGACTAGACCTGTAATTTCACCAGCACCCTTACACTTCTAAACCGAACGCTGTATTAGTATATATTACTCTTTATAGCGAATTTTCAAAAAGGTACTGTTTGCAGCAAGTACCTACGTACAAAAGAGTAGCTATACACCTGAAACTTTGCTTTTGTACCTATCACAGTTTTTTTTATTTATTTACATAGTGGTAGTTTATTTATATATAATCTCACAAACCTACACATTTAATAATAGAGACTTTGCCATAAATTTGATAATTTTGAATGAAATATACTATTGATTTTAAATATATATTTAATAATAATATATATCTATTGTCTTTATATAAAGAAAAACCCAAACGTTTGTAGCTACTTTTCCTGACCAGAAAAGCAAAGTGTTTTCATGTTTTTATGAAAGAACCAATTCGAAAATGATGTTAATAACCTAGAAATAAAAATTACTTACTATCGTTCTCCACAGATTATACATATTATTAATCTCCTCTCTACAGTGTTGCCATTTTCATGTAACCAGAATAAAAAAATACAGATGTCTTAGTAGATTTTTAATACGATTTTTATACTGCTTAATTAATTCCTTGAGTCTCCAAAGTCTCGAAATCGCCGAAACTAAAAATTGTCGCTACTCGAAATTTTCGAAATCGAGATTCCCGTGATGTACAGTTCGAATATCTGTGGCGGCCTGTGACTGACTTGAATTTCTAAGGGTGCCTTCAAATTAGATACTTATAGAAGTACTGCAACGTCGCTAATGTTAGCACTGCAGCCACGCCACTACTAAGTTTCATACAATATTTAGAAGCGCAGTTGCAGCGCCACTGTCATGACACTTTTGCAGTCACAATGAGTGAACTAAAAATTACTGTAGCGCTTCTATAAGCGTCTAATTTGAAGGCGCCATAACTTACGCATTTTTGTTAATGCTTAGTAGCAATTTAACGGTGAAAGAATACACTACGTATACATTTACGTTGTATTACGCTCTCTTTATAGAAAACCCGTGCCCTTGTAGGTGTGCTAGCACAATAGGGCGCGACTTGGGCGAGAGCGCAGTAAAAAAACTCGTCACTTATAACATAGAAAAAAATACTAGAAAGCAGGGTTCGAAACTATGAATATATTTATTTTTCTTTGATAATTGTCATAATAATTATCCGATATTATAGTCAATAATTATCCATGCTGATTCATCATTTTGTACCTTTATTTTTTTACTAAAAATGACAAACAGAGATAACTAATTAAACACGAAAAAAAATGTTTTGAGAAAACGATTTGGTTTGTGACTTTTTGAGATTGGCATTTGACACGTTAGGATACGTGTCACATGACACGACACATTGCTAGCGGTAGCATTGTGTTGTTCCAATTTATTTTATAAATAATTATCAAAGTATATATATTAAGATTATTATCATGATAATTATCTCGAATAATTAGCACCCTGAACCCTGTTATGAACCCTGAACAAATGAAAAATGAAAAAATGCTTTGCTACCTTACTCAACAAATATTTATCTTTCCCGTTTTTTACAGACACTTCGCCATTTGGTAGCAATAAATGGTGGCTTTGGGTGGTGGCAGCAGCCCTGGCCATTTTTACGATGTGCTTGTGCTTCTTCTGTGTGATCCGTTGTAGGAAACTGGATAAGGGGATCAAGGTATTCAAAAAAATTTTAACTTTATTAATAAAATTAAAGATGTGTGTAGATTCACATAAAAATCCTTCTCGTTATTTAAACAACACATTCTTCACAATAATTTATGCTTTCTTTTCTTTCGTTAAATTTAATTTTATGATTAACACCCAGGTGAAGCCAGATGCTACATACGAAAATTTAAGTAACGAACGCCAATTCCCGCCAAATTTGGAATCAAACTACGCGCGCCCATTCGACAGGATAGACGAAGAACCACAATACGCATGTACAAGCCAAGAGTCGCCTTACAGCGTGCCGTACAACGAAAAAGATATAAACAAGCTCTATGCTCGACCGACCCCTAAAAACCAAAGACAAAAGCCGGCGCAAGATTTGTATAGCGAAGTCGTACCAAAAAGATTGCGTAAAAACGAAGTTACATACGCGGACATAGAATTTAATTCCAATAAAAAGAAAACAAACGTAAAAAATGACGAACCATTGTATAGCGAGATTCAAAAAGAGGACAATTATGCGAATTTGAATCCGAAACAGAATCCTAGATATGACAACGTCATAAATGGTGGTCGATATGTTAATGCTAATACTAGTGAATATGCGGAACCAGCTTATTGCGAATTAGGTAACGTTAAACGTTAGGTCAAAGTAATTATAAGATAACTTCCAGAATTTAGATATATGCAATAATATTGTTACCTGACTTAATTAACTTTGAAACAACTGGCAAGAAATCAAATTTTCTTCGCTACATTTGGATAAATATCTTAACCATATAGATTTCATAAGATCCAACTTTATTAACTTTGTTTATTTTCGCCCTTTTGTGAGCGCTATTTAACAATACGATATCGAAGTCTAGTATATCGACTAAATATTATATAATATAATATACATGTCAATTCTATGGATAAATTAACAATGTGCTTTTATGATTGTTTTATTATTCCTTCCCGCCACCAGAAAAACATTAGAATATTTTCAGCTCGCGTGTGATTTTAAACTTTTACCTTTCCGTTAACGGAAACAATTTAACAAAACAACTACAATAATTTTATTAATAATAGTCATTTTCTGTCCAATATGACACTTATTTAAAATTATTGTAAGCGCCATCTATCTAAAAACTTTAGAACTTATGACAACTATGAAGAAAGCAGGTACCTGATAGAGTTGATTCAAACTAAATGCGAACCCCTATTTTAATTTGTTGTCAAACCATCTCGGATAGATGTCGCTACAATTAGATTTTCACCAGAAAAACTTATGTGGAGACACATGACTAGAAACATACTTGTTTGTTTTCATTAATTAATACATTATGTGAATAATGTTCATAAATAATAGATTTAATTGTCATTTGCATTGATGACAAAAGCAAATATAGCGAAGAAAACCTGCATTGTAAATTCACATGATTCGATTTTCCACACCACTGACTTCTCTTATGAAGAAAATACAGACCTCAGATTACAAAAATGTTTTGTAATCTGACATGCAGACTTACCTCTGTGTCAAAAATAGAAAATAAGTAGTACTCTTAAATAAATAAAACTAATTATTTAAATAAATATAACTATCTGTTCAGTACAACATCAAATAAGACCTGAAAATTAATTACTGCCATTTAATATTCGATACGATTTTTATTATTAGAATTTTCTTTCTCGTGCATTTTTGTTTATAATTTTCTTTGCACGACCCGTTCGTTTCATGTACCTAACTTTTTAAATTTATTTTTATACAAGAGAGGCAGAGGTTGAGTGCCTGAAGCGGTATTCGTGTTCTTTTGTTAGCTACTTTGTTATTCATTTTTCCATTGCTACGATTAAAGGAGTTGTAAAAGCCTTTTATTCCGCTTAGTTAGTTAATTGCTTAACAGATGTTTAGGTTGGTTTTAAATATTTATAATAGATATATGTATATATATGTGGTTGAACCATATCGGTAGATAATGCATAGTTTAAAACACACCAACTTTTGTCCATAATTTAATAGACCGGGTTTTTAAGGCTCTCAATCTGAAATTATCTAATCTATCTATATAATGCATTGACCTAGGTAGGTCAATGATATAATCATAAATTATATGATCGCTAAATCTGAAAACAATTGATCAATTTTAATCAATTATTAAACGCACAGATAGATAATTTGGTACTTATTTTAGGGTACTTAAACACGCTCAGTTAAGAGAACCTAATTATACTCTAGAGTATTGTACGTACACATAACATAAAAATAATATTACAGACTTATGTCGTAGGTAGTAATGATAATGAAACAAAATTACAGTACCTATTACACTATTATAGGAAATCCATTCAAAGTATCATGACAATATCTATCACTATCATGAAGTTATCACGATCCTTTCCTTGTCCGGTAAAAATAATTTATTGCTTTCCTTTTATGACTAATTAGGGCTAAACCTTGAATTAAAGTGATATAAAGACTAATTTCCTACAACAAACACGCAGGAAAACATCCGCGCAAGCGTACAATAAAACTGTACGTATATTTTGTTCCCAAATTGTGATGAAGAAAAACAGACAAAAAGACATTCTATTTAATGCGAACAACCAACTTGACCGCCTTGCGCTATCAATATCATCGGCATTCAGGCGTTTTTAAATTGGTCGCTTAACACTATCGAATAGAATCATGAATGTATCTATTTTGGTCTGTATTACTAGTACTTAAAGTGGAGATCGTGTTGTAGTATTTTGACGGCTGGTTGTCGTCCGCCATTTTCCATCATGGTGGAAAGCTAGATTAGGGCGACATCTACGCGGAACTTTAGTGTCACCGCGAGCGTGCTGAGCGTCGAGTCGTGCGTGTTTCTCGACAATATATTGTTTGCATCCATTGTATCAAGAAAAATGACATAGAAAATTGTCTTTTACAGCCATAACTTACGTCTATCTCCTTTATTGTTGTTCAACAATAGTGTTTATCGTAAAAAATACAGAGTTAACCATTATAACGGGGCTGTTGTATGAAAATAATGAAATTTCACGCCGCCGCAGTCTTCTGTTTGAATCGTGAACTTAGTGAAATCGATTTTTAGGTGTTATTTAATGAAATTACAAAGGTGCTGGTGAGTGATATTGTTACATAAAGGAACCTGTTTCGCGTACTCCCGTTGCGTATAGTAGTCGATGCGTTGGGAGCCTAAATCGATATAAGTTAATAAAAAATGCATATTTTCCCCATGGTTTCATAAGTTCAAGCATCGGGTCAATACGACCGGTGTTGGTAGAAACAAAATATTTTCATTGTGTTAATTTATTAGTGATGACTGAAGTGGAATTGCTTCGTGTAATTTATGTGTGATATTGGTGAGATAACGACCCTGTTATGTCGTGTGGAACATTTTGTAGCCCATAGAGGTTAGTAAACAAAAACTTATTTTTATTACCTGCCCATAATTGTACAGACTTTTATTAATTCACAGATTATCCATCTACAATATCAATTTTAAAATTTTTTGAACACCCAATCGTCACTTTAAATTTCGAAACGATCTCGTATTGAACAAAAATTATAAAATTTATTTATATTTTTCGCGATTCGAATTTCGATTAAAACAAAAAAAAGATATTTTACGTGTATCGATTGATTACTCGACAAATTAGTAGATATTTTATCATACATTCAACTTTGTACACAAGTAAATTTTAGAATTAAAAAAGACTGTGAAAAACATTGTTAAGTTAAATTAATTTCAAAAAATCATTAATAACAAACAATTCACCTATTTGTGTGTGATACACCAATTTGATGGGTCCCCTTGAATAAAAATTATTATCTACACTTATTACACACAATACATGTTGGAATTATTTATTGTTTTTGACCTGTCCAGAAATAATAGTTATTTCAATACTCTAAGTGGTAATTATGAAGACAAATAAGACAGACAATCGGCACAGGTATTCCGTTTACTGGTTTCGAAGTAGGGAAACCTCTATCTATCCTCTTAAGTACCCCGTTTATTCCAGGGGGCAATATTAACAGCACCAATACACCGCATGTAGAGCATGTTTAGAATGTACAGAATATTCATAATTTAAAACAAAAACAATTCTTTGTCATTGCTTTCGAAACACAGTACATATTACCTATCTATGCATACTTAACAATACAAAATTAATTGACCTTTCTTTGTGTGTTCTTAAAATTTATTCCAGTATATTAATTCATTATTAAAGGTACAACAGAATTCTTTGTTACTGGCAGGATGTCATTCATTCTTTAGAAATAGCTTCATAGAAATTCTTGCAAAGTGTAATTTAATACTCTGTAATCTGAAACCAGTTTTGTATGTGTCTTGACATGTTGTGGGCCTAGATTCCTTGTTGATTTACTGAATTTTTATATTCCACTTACTGTTGAGTAACATAAAGTGCAAACTAAATGTTTGTAATTTGTACTTTAATTATTAGTAGCAGTAGAACTCCTTGTGTGTGTGTTCGTCCAAGGTAGTACTGCCACCTTACTTATTTCTGCCTACGAGCAGTAATGTCAGCATTAATGTGTTCTGGTTTTGAAGTAATGGTGCTAGTGAAATTACAGGCACAAGGGACTTGAAAATTTATGTCTCAGGGTGATGGGTGCAGCGGCAGTGCCCCTCAGGTCTTTGCCATTTAAAGCTCTGTGTGGCACTGCAATTGTTATGGACAGGTGTGTAGCGTACCATCAGGTGCACGACTTATTCATCCCGTTACTTGATGTTATAAAAAAATTACATTGTTGGGGTGGTTATTAAGAACTTGTACAGCCTTTTTAAAACTGGTAATTTAATCTATTGCATTTACCACCATTTACATCTACGAGTGAAGGTCCATAGTATTATTGAAGTGGGTTCTTACTCTCTGATTGTTTTTACATCCTCTACCTGGATTATATAAACCCCTTTAACATGAAAGGAAGTAATTTATTATTATTAGTAATTTATAAGGGTGGCTTCGAGGGCCTGCGCAATAAGATAATTAATTTATTGTGATCAACCACTAATAACAATTTGGAACCAAGGCATTAAACAACTTCTCTTGACTATGACTTTTCTGTTCACTGATAACAGAAAGTGCCTTCCTAGTATCAATTATTGTGTACTTGTGGAGGGGTAGCATTGAGTAGGGAGATGCTTAGGAGTTTCATTGGCTTTTTGTACATAACTTACTATTTTAAAGGTAACAGTTACTTATGTAATTACGAAATAAATTTGTATATTCTGTTTTATTTTATTTATAGCCTTTATTGCTGATTAACAAGAATTATAAGATAACTGATAAGTGAGATGACTTACATACTAACTTATCTAATACAGAAACATTTATTTAAATTTTTATTAACTTGATATTCAATTATTTTTCGTGAAATTATTCCACTAGTTTGTTATAATTATTAATACAGAGATAGGCCAGATTCAAACCGACGTCTTCTAGCAAACCGTGTCAGACGCCAAGCCAACTAAGCAGAAACGTTGTAAACTTGTCCTAAAACATAGGCCTCTTCCAGAGATTTCCATTTCTCTCTATCTTTTGCTATTTGCCTCCATGCTTTTCCAGCAACATATTTAAAATCTAAAATATGGTCACCTTATATTCTGTTATGATGTAAATAATTTGTTCTCATCAAAATTTACAGACATTCATGAGTGTTAGAAAAAGGCTCTGGAAGAGATTCCTATTTTTATCAGAGGACAACATTGGCATAGAAGGTACAGAGCTGTAGCAGAAGTATACTTAATATATTAAGCACAGACTGTAGATTTGCTACCTCATAGGGTTGAACATGCGTTTGTCATCCTAACTTATTCTGTTTTATCTGTCTGTTAAGTTTTTTTAAACTGCAGCCAATTTTGATGTATTTTCGAAAGTCTTCTTTTTGTCACAGAAATAAATCTTAAATGGGGGTAAAATAGGAGGGGAATAAATTGTAGGGGGAAAAAATTTGTATGGAAAACCAATAATACTATGAAGAATAGTATAGTACAGTAAGTAGGTTTATTGAAGTACTTATTCAATGAAGTCACGAGCACCCGCTGCCCGCTAGTAATGTATAACAAAAGGATTTTTGCTAAAACCTCTTATATCAAATTGAAATATTATAATAACAATCATATATATTTTTGTTTATAGGTATAAATTAAACTTAAATAAACATTGAAATGGCAATAAAAGAAAAAATAAAAAGAAAACAAAATTGCACCTTCCGCTTGAGCTACATTTTAATTAACGCTCGCATTAGTGCACCCGGATCTCAGGGTCGTATTCTAGAACTCTACTCAATACTGAAGTCAGGACTTGAGTATTGCAGTGAGCACTGAAAATCATACTCAAGTCCTTGCCATTAGGGTCGTATTTCCAGTGCTTGAAATCATACTTAAGTCTGCTCAAATCCTGACTTGAGCATTGAATACAGTTCTGGAATACGACCCTCAGAGTGGTCGGCGTCTGACGCCTCACTGCGCCCAAGTAACGCGTGTCGACGCGCGTCGTTACGCGGCGCGAAGACGCTCGACTCCATGTTTGCATAACACAATGTTGTACCTTAAAAATGTGAAAATAGAGATGAATATACTACAGGTGAAAAACATGACGCGTCGCGACGCTTCGAATCTGCGCCAGTGTGAGTTGAGCCTTGCCACCACGCCAACGAAATGCTCAAGCATGGGCTCTGCTATTTTATAACTAAACATTTTCATAACAATGTTCCTATTGGCCAAATATACCAGACCATTCATTAAAAACAAGAATTTTTTTCAACTGTAATCCTTTAGAAGTTCTCTAAATGTGTCCCACATACTTGTATTATACAACAAATTCAGATCAATGTTGTGAACAATTCAAGGTTAACAGTTAAGAACGAGTAACTCTTAATATATAAAATATATTAAGAGTTACTTGTTCTAGTATTTTAATCTAGTAATTATTGTTACTCTAGGCGCCCAGTTACACGAGGAGAAAGTTTTCGCGCGACTACCGCGCCGCGTCCGCCGTATTGTGACCGCCCAGTTTCCACGCCTTCATGTACATTAATGGCGAATCTGAATTCTATTTATTATGCAACAACATTTAAATTCCTCTCAATAAAATTACCGCGCGGTTGTCGCGCGGGCCGCTGCGTAGACCTAATCCAAGCCAAGCTAGCCCGCGTGCCGGACGCTCATTTAAATTAAAACGTAAAAGCTAAACAAATAGAGCGTATTTTGCCATGACAGTAAGACGTACGCGGTCGCTGTGCGGCGGTAACGCGGACTCCGCTCTTCGACCGCGCGACGGCCGCCGTGGACTCCTCCCGGCGACCGCGCGGGGTGAGTGCGATAAAATTCGTGTCGAATAGATGCGCCCTTAGGGTGGATTTTTTGGAGCATATGCAGTCACATCTTTCTTCTGTGACACGTTTAGAGCACATTCAGATTAATAATAGAATATTCGTAGGTAATTAAAAAGAAACAATTGTTTTGATTTGAGCATATCTATCTAAATATCTAACACATCATAAAAAAATGTCTTGATAACACAGTTGGGAAAACGCTTAACTCCTACGGACCTCCTATCCATCATTCAATTTTTAACGTGGGGTCTTCAAAACTAAGTATTTCTGTGTCGTATTCTAAGTTAAATTCATTAACAGTGAAAAACTGGTTTCTTTCTTGCTAGAGCTTCTGAAAGAGTTCGTCCAGGGAAGTACCTATTTCTGCCGTTTGAAGGGTAAGGGTGCTGGTGAAATGACAGGCACATGGGACTCGTCAACTTATGTGTCAACGTGGCGGTGATCCTTGCGATTTAAAGCTCTGAATGGCTCTGCAACTGTTATTGATAGGCGTGTCGCCTCTCTCATAAAAAAGTCTCTAAAGTCAGGATTGCCATGATATTTTCCAACCTCAAATAGGAGAGGAACCCCAAGAAGAAGGTCAAAACAAACGAAATTGTTATAACAAATTTTCATTTCTAACGTCTCAACGGTTAAGCACTTTCGCTCCTATCTTCCATGTGATGGTCTGAGTATAATAATAATAACGCACACTCTTAACCCCGTACTAGGGAAACCCTGTATCGCGAATGCCAAGGACACACATAGACGACCACAAATTATTCCCAAACTCACGAGAGAAATAAATGTAGACCATACAAATATTTCTTCCAGCCCGGGAATCGAACCCTGGTCCTCTGCATGGGGGATCAACATGGTAACCTGAACCAATTCAGGGAACAGACTTTTCTAATTTCTTTTTGTCTTGCGAGTTCTTGACTTCAGTTTAAGGGCGCGTTCAAAGTAGCTGTTAGAAGCGCTGCAACCGCGCAGCGACGCAGACATTCGCGCTGCAGTCATGCTCGATTGCAGTTATGCTCGGTTGCAGTCACAGTTAGTGAGTTAGTTA